AATTGTTGACAATTTCAAGTTTTTCTCCACCTCAGGCTGGAGACTAAGGTGCGCCTGATCCAGGCTATAGTCTTTGCAATTACGTGCTATGCATCGGAGAGTTGGACAGTGAATAGGGATGATAGGAAGAGAATTGATGCTTTTGAGCTGTGGTGCTGGAGAAGAGTGTTGAATATACCATGGACTGCTAGGAGAACAAACAGATTTGTCCTGGAGAGGGTGAAGCCAGAATGTTCCCTGTAGTCAAGGATTCTGAAGCTTCGTCTGACGTACTTTGGACATACTGCAAGAAGGGACTGGTCCTTGGAATGGGACATCATGTTTGGGAGAGTGGAGGGACAGCACAGGAGAGGAAGACCCTCAATGAGATGGATCGATTCTGTGAGTGGAGTGGTGGGAATGAATATGTTTGAGACAGCGAGATTGGCACAGGATAGACTGGCGTTTAGGGCTCTTGTAATAGGGTCACTATGAGTCGCAAACGACTCGATGGCACATAACAACAACATCATGATGTTGCCTCTTGGTCCCTTGATGTTGAGATGTAATCCATATTGAAGGCTGTAGTCTTTGGTCTTTTGTAGCAACTGTTTCAAGTCCTCTTTACTTTCTACAGGCAAGGTGGTATTATCTGCATAATGGAGATTATTGATGAGTCTTCCTGCATTTCTTAATTCGGTTTATCTAAGTATAGTTAATTTTTATCTTTATCTAAAGCTCTGGTGGCCTAGTGACAAGAAGCAGTGCTGCAATCCTGAAGGCACACAGTTCAAGGCCACCAACCCCTCCACGGGAGAAGGCTGGGCAATCTTCTCCCATGTGATTAACTGCCTCTGAAAACCCACCAGAGGATCAACTATGGGTCGGTTCTGACTCCACAGTACATAACAACAACAAACCAGATTAAAAGTAGTACATCTATGTAGTGATAAGAAGCCAAATAATTTCCTACTTTTTTTTTCTAAATTGCTGAAGTCTTGATTGTCTAGTGCTGCTATAACAAAGATACCACAAGTGGGTAGCTTTAACAAACAGACATTTATTTTCTTACAGTTGTTGTTGTTATGTGCTGTTGAGTCACTTGTGACTCATAGCGACCCTATGTACAACAGCCCTAAACTCTGTTCTGTCCTGTGCCAATCTCATTATCCCCGACACACTCATCCCGATTACCCCAGTCACCGAATCAGTCCATCTCCTAGAGGGCCTTTCCCTCCTGCGCTGTCCTTCCATCCCCCCACCCCAGGCGTGATGTCCTTCTCCGAGGACTGGTCTCTCCTTACAACATGACCAAAGTATGTCAGACGAAGCCCCAGAATCCTTGCCTCCAAGGAGCAGCCTGGTTTAACCCTCTCCAAGATGAATCTGTTTATTTACTTAGCAGATTCTTAGTAGATTAGAAATCCAAATTCAGGGTGCCAGCCCCAACAGAAGTACCAGAATCTCTCTGTTGGTTTTGAAGGAAGGCCCTTGTTTACTGCAGCGTGTGTAGGTCAAGTTCTTTGGAGTTCTCCATGTGCCCTGGCTTTCCTAGAAGACAAGAAACTTCCCAGCACTGGGACCTGGGTCCAATAGGACAAACTCCATTCCTGGCAGTTCTTTTCTTGTGGTACTAAGGTTCCTTTTCTCAGTTGACTTTCCTTCCTTTCTATCTCTTGTAAGATAAAAAGTGTTACAGGCTCCACCCTAGGGAAACTTCTCTTACATTTTAAGTCAGGGCTGTGATCTGGGTAAGGAAGTTTCATTTTATGCTTAATCATTTTGCAACATGTTGTGTGTCAAATCATGGAGGGTCATTATATACACTTTTTTTTTTAACTTTTTTTTAATTGGGAAAAAAACATATTGGGGGTACAAGGAGGTGAGGGTTGGGGGCAGAAGGGTGAGAATGGGCCAGGATGCATTTGCAGAGCTGCACAGTTTGGTCGGTGGGTGGAGCAGGTAAAGGAAATGATGAAGGTCCAGTGGGAACCAGATGCTACAGAGGAATGACAAGCATTTTCCAATAGTAATTAAACCAACTGTCTTATTGATTTAGAAATTGAATGCCGAATCTCTGGCTTCTTCATGCTGAACAGGGACATAGATGTAAAGGGGGGAAGGGAGGACGCTTTATCACCTTACTGGTGGTCTTGGGTTAAAGCTGCTTGCCTTCTTGCTCTGTTAGAAAATATTTTCCTGTCATTTGCTCCCCTCTGGAGTGCAGAGTGTTTTCCCAGGTGGATCCAGTGAGGATAGCTGGTTGAACCCAGAGGCTCCATCCTCCTTTGCTTCCTTAGCTGTCAGTTGTATTTTCTTTTTGTCACTGGCACTGGGTTCAGGGTCATTTCTGGAGTAAAACTCAGATTTAAGGTTACCTATAGGAAAGGGAGGAAACCTAGAGAGAACAAACTTGTGAGTTACAAATAGAAGGGCTTTGAGGGTGTTGCTTTCAGGTTTACGGGGGGGAGGGTGGCAGAAGGTGGCCTAGGTAACATTGGATACCCTAGGCATTCTTTTTTTTCCCTCTCCTTCCCCACCCAGGGGTCAGATGGCACAATCTGGGGACTGAGGAGCTCACCCTGAGGGCCACGACGGCTCACCCCGAGCTGGGGGCCGAGGGCAGCCCGCCCCGGGCAGTATACACTTATTTTTTGAGTGAACACAATTCAGTGCATGACACCTGACCTCCTCTATCCATTACATTTTCTTTCCCAAGTTTATCTGTTTGAAATTAGGGTTGATACATTTAGGATTACATTTGCATCTGTTGTTTTATGATATATGACTTTCATGTGGATTAGATATGAATCTGAGAAGTTAATCTTTCTTAGTTTTTTTGTGTTTTGAAGTCAAGCATGACATTAAAAGATAATAATCTGACTCCTACCCCGTAATCTTTTGATGTTCCTGAGCTCTCAGTCTTTTAGAGTGATTCTACTTTTCCTTTTAGAAAATATATAATTAACCAAGGAGTTTGGTGTTGCTCCAAATTTTTCTGCTAAAATTCAAGACAGTATTGATCACATTAACAAGCACAGATAAACAAAATTTATAAATTTGAAAAGGAATTTATCCTCATATGCTTTTATATGAATTAGTATTTCACTTTAAAAATACTAATATATTTCCACTTAGAAAAATGATAACCTTGTAGTTGTAGTCAGTTGCTGTGGCATAGATTCCAACTCAGTTCCTGTGTGTACAGGGTAGAATTGCTCCACAGGCTTTCAAAGCTTCAACATTTCAGAGGAAGATTGCCACGCCTGTCCTCCAAGCTACATTGATCTGGACAGGGTTGAACCTCCACTGGTTCAGTCTTCAGTCAAGCACGTAACTAATTGCACCATCCTGGGTCTCCTCAGTTATGACCTGCTGTTTTTGTTGTGTGTTTTCAAGTTAATTCTCACTTGTAGCAATCCCACAAGACAAAGCAGAATTGTCCTGTCATGCTACCAAGGAAGAAAAAACTGACACTTACCTCTTTTATGAAAAACAGCCTGCATATTTACCACCTTAGGAAAAAAAAAGCAAAAAAATTTTTTTCTTCATATTGTTAGATGCCGTAGAGTTGAGTCTGACTCAGCAGCCCTATGGACAACAGATCTAAACCCTATCCTATCCTACTCCCTTTTCATCAACTCTGACATTCTTGAGCCCATTGCTGCAGTCACAGTGCCAGTCCATCTCATTGAGGGTCTTCTTGTCCTTCACTGACCCTGCACCTTTCTAAGGAATGATGTCTCTTTCAAAGGAATATATCGTTAGCTCCTCCTAACACCACTTTTTAAGTATTTAAGAGGAAGCTTCATCATCCTTCACTCCAAGGAGTACTTAATATCTGTATATATTAAACCTCAGCCAGGTCTTTTCAGTCATTTGCTATGCATCTGAGAGTGGCACAGTGAATAAAGATGACATAAGAAGAATTGATATCTTTCAATTTTGATGTTGGAGAAATGTGCTAAATATCCCATGCACCCCCAAGAGAATGAATAGATAGATAGGCTTTGCAGAAAGCTCCTTGGAGGCAAAGATGACAAAGCTTCATCCACATAATTTGGGCATGTTGCTTGGAGAGAATGTTCCTTGGAAAAGGACATCATGCTTGAAAAAGTGGAGAGTTAGCAAAAGAGGAAGGCCCTCTATTAGGTGGATTGACACAGTAACTACAGCAGTGGGCTCAAGTGTGTCAGAGAAGATGGGGTGGAACAAGATAGAACGAGGTTCGTATCTGTTGTTCATAGGGCCACTGGGAGTTGTATGTGACTCAACAATATCTAACAACCCCAGCAACAAGCTGCACACTAGCTTTTGAATAGCTAAACAAGTCACATGGCCATACCTAGAGCTAGTGTGAGGGTAGTTTTAGGCAGCATCTCTATATGAAAGGAATGGCAAAGGACTTACCACCATTTATGTCTATAATTAAAGCAAGTTTTCAACCCTTTTAAAAACCTATTCTCTTTGAGAGTATAGGAATATCATGACATTGTTGAGGGGGAAAAGATCATATTAGCCATAAGTTTCAGACTTGACTTAAACCATAACAGATCTAAGAAAGATTATCTTCTTAGAGTCAAGAGAATTTCTCTCTAGATCTATGCTGCACTTTCTACACCTTAATAATTATATGGCCTTATTAGCATAACAAGGAACACACTATTCCTAAAAAGGATTATGTTGACATAGAGAAGGCCGGGCAATCTCCTCCCATGAGATTTACTTCCCTCTGAAAACCTACGGAGGGTCAGCTGTGGGTGGGTTCCAACTCCACAGCACGCACATGACAACAACAAAGACCTAGAGGGGTTAAGCTTCTAACACGTATTTTAGGGGCACACAATATCATTAACCCTGTTCTTTTTCCAAAATAGAACTGGATTCATGCAAACAAAGAAAATGTGGAGATGATATTTTAGATTTTACCAAGCAATATATTCAAGACAAAAAAAAAATTAATGTTCTACTTCTGTTTGTTTCTTTTAGTAGTGATTGAGCAAACTCGTACGTGGGCAAGGATGGTGTCTTCCCATGCTTCTGAGCTGGTGAAGAGGAGGTGGGAAACAAAACTGAAGCAAATTGAAGAACGGGCTTCCCTGTATGAGAGGAAACCTTTGTCTTCTGTGTATAAACCTAGGTTATCCAAGCTAGAAGAACCAGCCTCTATTTGGAAGCTATTTCATCGGCAAACGCAAGCTTTTCATTTTGCTAAAACCTGTAAAGAGGTCATTGTCTTATCCTTTTCCTTTTTTTTAAAATTATTTTTTTGAGCTGCTTTAACAAGATTTCTAAAAAATTTTATTTGTCTCCCTTTTACTGACTCAACAGCAACTAGTAACAACAACAACAACAACCATCCTTTAGGTCATAAACTGAAGAGAGTTTAGTTGCAATCTTAATAGTGCAAGATTAAAGACAGTATCTTTGAATAATTAGCCATTTAGTGTATCACTGAGAGAAAGAATGGTATCTGTGATGCCAGTGAGTTTAAAAATGAGCCCTGCTGGTGCAGTGGTAGGCACCTGGCCGCTAACAGTCTGGTAGTTTGAACCCACCAGCCGCACTTCTGTGAAAAAGTCGTCGCAATCTGCTTCCATAGCCTTGGAAACTGTGTGAACAGCCCTACTTTGTCCTACAGGGTTACCTTCTGTTGGAATGCCCCAGTAGGAATGGGGTACATAAGCTGAGAGACCACTCAACAAAGTTGGGCCGTTAGTGTCAGCCAGCTGTTCAGTGGTAGAAAGATGGGATGTCTCCTCTCATAAAGATTCACAGTCTTGGAAGCCCAGTGGAGGGTAGCTATGAGTTGGACTTCATAGTTGTGAGCTCAGCTTGGGATATATTGACATTTAAATGGATTGACACAGTGACTACAGCAACAGGCATAAATGTGGGGGAGATAGTGATGAAGGTACAAGACAGGGCCAAGTTCAATCTGTTGTTTATAGAGTTGCTGTGAGTCTTAGTCAACTCAGTGGCACCTAACAACCACAGTATGCTTCAAAGGAGAGCAACCATATGGACTGAAAGTTAATGAGATGGCTAAGAGAGGAAAGGGAGTTACTGCTTAGGAAACAAAGAAAGATAATAGAATAAGGGAGAAGGGGGGAAAAGTAAGTTTTTTGGAAGGGAACCATCTTTCCCTAGTAAAGAGCCATTCACTTACTCATTGCTGTAAAATTTGAACCAACTCATAGCAGAGCCTCTGTTGCATTTCTGAGGCTATGAATCACAAGGGATTGCCCGTCTTTTTCTTGAGGTGGATTTGAACTGCCGGAGAAGTGTAATCTGTGGGTTAGCTGTGCAGTTCCCTATGGATTATTCCACTACAGCTCCTTAGTAAAATGAATCTCACTCAAATTTTAGGAAGCATAAGAAAGAACTTTTATAATAAATTCTGGCATCAGAATTTCTCTAAATTGGGGAAAAAATTCATTTTAATTTGTATTTAATAAATGAGTATGATTGCTGTACTTCCTAATTATTAATCTATAAAATTTACCTTAAACAGTTTTAGCTGAATCAGGTAACTGAATCCCATGACTTCTTACCATAAAAACGTGAAGGTTTAGATCCCTTACAAGTTCCACAGCTACCTTAACATATATCCATTTATATTTTTTGACAGTAGACAGAATTTAATCACAGTAATTAGTCTTAAAAGTTGTGTAGTATACATTTTTATATTTACTAAGGAATTTAATTAATTTTAGCCTAAATTATTATGCTAATGTTTAAGCAGTGAAAAGATACATTTAAACTTCATGAAACAAAACTGATGCGAAGTCAAACTTGTTGTTGTTGTTGTGTGCCGTCGAGTCGCCTGCGACTCATAGCGACCCTATGTACAACAGCCCTAAACTCCGCTCTGTCCTGTGCCAATCGCACTGTCTCTGACACT